TGTAACAATTCTCAATGACTAGTGGTTAGATTTTTCTGATGCATTGGTCCAACTTTTGACTAAACAAAGCACAACAGAGATATATTTCAAGTAAACCAGGGATCATGTTTTATAATTGGGAGCCTTTGGGGCACCATTCTAGAAGTCGTAAACACGTTACCTTAGTGAAGTCCAATTTCCTCTCTGTAACATCAGATTGGAGATTTCTGAGGGAAATTTGATCATTTGTACTGTATTGCTTGTCCAGTAAGCCTAGACAAAAGGAGATAAAAGGTTTGCTGCTTTTAGAGGATACAATGGAACGTATAACTTTACTATAAAGTTTGAAGTTCCCATGTCATATAATACACCAGCTACTACCCAACCCAATATATTCCAAGCCATAATACAACCTTGTATTTCCCCTCTTCACCCCACTCCCTTCCATGTCTGCCCTCAGTTCAATATTACTTATTAGGCTAGAGGAGCCCTTCCCTCACACAGCTGTCTCTGTCCCTTAGGTTCTGCAACTGTTTGAACAGATGTAGCCCTCTTATGTCTCTAGTGTTCTGAAATTACACTCAGAGAAAAAGAAAACCAAATTTATATACTTCCCAGCACCCTTAGTGTTAAGGCATAAATACAAGACTGGCATTGAGTCATTCTCTTAAAGCCACATAACTGGAGGGCTTGGGGGGACAGTGATGCTCGAACTGCTTTAGAGGATGTGAAGATAACCTGGGATGGTGTGTGGGGAGCCCCTGTGAGTGACGCTCCATGAGCATTTTCCACGACAGCTAAGGCAGTGGCCATGTCCAAGTGCTCATAAGGATGGCTATCTGGATGAAGCCTCTCAACTTAAATTTCCTTATCGGTGGACTCCGCCCTCCAGGACAGCCAGAACTCCAAGCAGCAGCGCTGCTGAGAAAGGGCATGTTCAGAAGAGAGCAAAGTCTGCCTAGAGTCTGAGGCAGGACTGAGACCAGCTTAGCTTCAGGTCCACAGAGCCAGCAACCCCAACGTCTCTTGGAGTGCCATTGCCAGGTGGTTCCTGCAGGAATGTGAGTCAAACACAGAAGACCTTGGAGGGACCAATGTGTAAGCACAGCTAGAGGCCTCATCTCCTCAAGCCAGGGGCAGAACTTTGTCTCCCCTTCTAGGGAAGGCGACTTTTCGAAACATTACAATGGGTGGTTCCCCAGCTGCTGCTGCTGGTGATGATTTTTAAAAAGTCCAAAAATGGCACTCTATATTTAGCATCCTACACCAGAAGGCCTTATTAAAGACAGGGTGTAGGGGCTCTACTCCCAGCAGTACAAAAAAGTTTTCTGTTTAGATAAAGGTTAGAAAATAATATAATAATATGACTTAGTACTATCAAGTTTGGCAGATTTGTAAGGAGATCAGGATTCGGCTTAGGGGAATTAAAAGGGTCACCTCTAACCCATCCAAAGCCTGTCTCTGTCATATCCTGTCCTTTGGCGACAGTGAACTTCCATCAGCTCTAACCTTGACTTGAGCTGCAGCTCTATCTATGATGATTATTGAGTGACAGAGACATCCAAGGTGATGTGTACAGATTGCTTTTTGGGATGCACAAGGCCTGAAGGGCCTCATGGGTTCCTGTGCAGAGCTGACACTTCATGATGATCTGACAGCAAGGCTGATGGAGACAGAGGTCACCCAGCCTTGGTTATATACCAAGGCGTGGGAGTGAGAAGTTTATAATCAGCACAGTCTTGGGGAACATGAGTCTGCGTCTGCTTCAGTTCAGCCCTAGTTGACCCACAGTAGATCAACTATGGATCCTGTCTTCATCCACAAATATAGACAATATCATACATTTTATCTTGTAAAAAGCACAGGCCTTGCCCTCATGGTCCCGGGAGAACCACATTCAAACACTTGGGTAGAGATGGGCTGTGTGGTAAATATGCCATAAATGGCAGGGGGAGTGGCTGTCAAAGCTCAAGGTCAGAGCAATCCTTGCCAAGGTGTCACTAATGCCGGTGGCTCAAGTGGTCAGGAGAGTCCCAGGGCCCAAATCTCAGCCCTGGATACGTGAGTGGCTTTGAACATGTTATTTGACATACTTCAGTTCTTCCCTATGAAAGGAGGTAATACAGGTGGTCACTTCACAGGGTTACTGAAAAAGTTTAAGTGGTATAACTAAATGGATTTGGGGCAATGCACAGAGTGCGTCATCATGCACTAAGTGCTAGCCATTGGGAAAAGCCTCATCTCCAGCAGGGAGGAGGGAAAACTGATGTGATCAGGGAAACATGAGTGATCACGTAAGCATGAGTTTCCCACGGCTGCTATAACAGATATAATCAGACACAAGCACTGCCTCACAATCTGGCGATCAAGTCCAACATGGGTCCCACTGGGCTAACACAGACGTGCTAACACAGACGTGCTAACAGGCCCGCGCTGCCCTCGGAGGCGCCAGGGGAACGTTCTAGCTCCCTTTCTGTTGCTGTGATAAAACGGTCCGACAGCAACGCGGAGGAGAAAATGCTGTATTCAAGCTTACATTCCAGGTCAGTCCATTGTTCGGGGGAATTCAAGGCAGGAACTCAAGCAGCCAGCCACACCACATCCACAGCCAAGGGCAGAGAGATGCTTGAACATCCCCGCTGTCTAATTGCTTGTTTGCTTGGTACCTAGCTAGCTTGCTGGACTCCAGCTGTAAACGGATGCTGTTCCCACATCAATTAACAAGACAATGCCCACAGGCCAACTTACTACACAGTTCCTTCCTCCCCCTTGACCCTACCCTCCCGTCTCCCTTAAAGTGGGGTCCTCGGATTAGATTGAGAAAACTTGGGTGATGCAAAGTAATCTCTTTATCTCAAGATTGTTGGCTCAACCACATCCTCCCTTTTGCTATATGAGGTCACATATTCACAGGCTCCAGGACTAGACCTTGGACATCTGTTGCCAGAGTTCTTTTTAGGTCTCTTGTGCTATCAGGCAAATCATATAACATATCTTTATGTGCATTTATTATTATCATTGGGGGGGAGGGACTTAAAAAGAAAAGGGCATCCGGTGCCTGGCTCCACGCCGCTAAGCTCTGTGCCGCTCAGCTCTGCGCGGCACTGTGGCTCAGAGCCCACCACATCAGATTGCTCCCATGGGGACGCCCATAGTCACCACTAGCTTTCACCCATACCTCAGGGGCCAGCGGTCTCTCCCCAGGTCCATAAGTGCCAGGCCATTCTATCCTTGGGTACACCTGGCTGCTGTGCATTCCCCACGCCCACCGTGTGTTTCGGGGGGCTCACCGCTCCTGTCCCAAGATGGCACCACAAGCCCCTCTTTCCACGGCTAACTCTCCACCATCAATTCTCTGCAGCAGGCCCTGCGCCTTGGAGGAACCAGAACCCTTGGGAAACACAACATCTTTGGGGGTGTCATATTTTACATACCACAGTAGTTGGGGGGTCTACTGAATGAAGAATCTCCAAATATGCATATGATGTCTACGTAGTGATATGGGAAACCACATATAATACCATACCGTGGAAATGAATCAGAAGCCTGAGGAGCAAGTGACTGTGATATTAACACAATGTGTGAGGGAGTCTATAAAAGCAGTAAGGTAGTGACTGCTTGGAAAAACGACCTGGGCTGAAAAGAGCTGGCTTTGGTGACAGGCCCTGGGAACCTGCAGGCTATAGACTTAAGAAGGCTTTGTGTCTGGAAACCAACAGCCCAGGTTCTGATTGCAGTTGTGCAGCTTTGCACAGTTTACTTAACCTCACCAATTCAATTTTCTCTGTCTATAAAATCAGAATGCAGGGCTGGTGCTGCTGAGTCCTGCCCAGTTCCTTTCTTGTGGACTGCCACTCTCTCCCTCTGCTGTGACAGGCTTGCTGTCAATAGTGTACAGCCTCCTTCTTCCCAGAGAATAATTCTCCACATTGGACCATAGCCACCATGATCATGACATTAAACGCCAAGACATAATATAAACCACAGGCCAGACTTTACCTTGGATAATGGTAAAATCAGCTCCTCTACCAAGCATCCTTTATGGTTATCTCTTGAAGAACTGGCCCCTCTGTCCTTACACGCCTTCAACCCCCGCCTCAGAGCTCTGGTTCTTGAAAGCAGCCTGGGGTTGGCTGACCCCTGCCCAGTTCTACCCCATATCAGGGTTCTCTTAAGTGTGCACTCCTGCCACCAAACAATAGGACCATGGAGGAACTTATGAGAAATGCATGTTCTGGGGTACCACCAGTGGACACCACCCCCAGATCCACCAAAGGAGGACCCCGGGGTGGAGCTCAGCCATCTGTGCTCTAGCTGGTCTTCAGCACCTTGGAAGCAGCTCAAGTCCACAACTGCTTGCTGATCTTACACCAGTCCATCACTTACACAAGGTAAATCTGGTATCCCAGAAAGGAACCATGATGTTTTGATTCAAAACCGCCCTGTGACTTTCAAGAACTCATACTTCACCTGTAGGCACGGGGATCAAAGGAGACTTCTAAGAGCATAAAACCACCAGCCATGTCAGCCAGCTGATTTTTATGATGCAGCTAGTTGAAAACCAGCCCAATGACCCACCATCCTCTTGCTGGGGTGTGGAGGCCAGCACTTTATTCCTCCACATCAGGGAGTGAGTCCACTCACTAAGTCATTAGTGAGTGCCAAGAGATTGTCTCGAGACTGTTGGAAGGATTGTGCTTATATCTCAACCAGCCTGAGCCACACACCCAAAGCTACTTCCCTCTTTGTGATCGAAGAAGTCAGAAGAGGCAGGGCCATTACCAGCCAGTCGAGCCATGCAGGGCCAGCCAGGCCTTGGGCTGAGCAGCAGATGTAGGAGGGATGCCCTGCCTTCCCAGAGACTCCAAGACAATGTCACAGGTTTGCTGTCCCAGGCCTCAAAATTCCACAGAGCTCTTCTAGTTGAAGGGACTAGGAAAAGTTTGGACACCAGAAATGACTGTGCTGGACATGTCACCTGACCAAAGCAATTTGGAAGATGTATTTTGGTTCATAGTTTGAGGGTGCAGTCCATCACAGTGCACAGGGGAGAGAGGCTGTGGCTGGAAAGGCAGGAGCTCGAGGACGCTGCCACACTGCAGCACCATGTCCCAGCTGGGAAGCAGAGACAGATGAGTGTCAGTCTCAAAGTACTTTCTCCCTTCGCTCCTTTTATTCAGTCCTGGACCCCAGCCCATGGGATGGTGCTGCTCACATCTAGGGTGGGTCTTCCCTCCTCACTAAAGACTCTCTGGAAACATCCTCACAGACAT